GCCCAGCCTGTGTCCCAGCACTGGCAGGTTCCCCCACAGCTGCCCAGCCAAAGTTGTGCCACCAAGATGTCATGACCGCCCCTTCGAAGGGCTTTGGAGCAGCTGCAGATGCAGCACAACACCCAGAGCTCCAAGGGCAGGTTCTCTCTCTCCCAGCGCCACTGCAGGTGGGAAGTGCAGGAACAAGCAGTGGGAAAACAGAGCCTCTGACATGGAGCCTCAAGAGCTTCCCTGAGTGTTGTGCCACAAGGCCACCAGCCCCCTCACAGGGGTCACTGGACTTCTCACCCATCCCTCCTTCCTGGTCTGCTGCTACAAAGGGGAGATGTGCTGCACTGGTGCTGTGGAGACACGAGGAGAAGTGTCCCATGAACAGCCTGGCAAGCCAGTTTGATGCACTGGCACCTTCTGCAGAGCCAAGTGTTTATTCCCAAGTGAACTCTGCCCAGAATCACTCCCAGGCTGGGCAGGGATCAGCATCTCAGCGAGGGTGTAAATAGAATTAGGAGTCCAACACTGATTGCAGTTTGCCCACTAACAGCGTTCCCATTCACCCAAGGAAACATTCCCAGGAATTGCTCCTGTTTGCTGTCTGGCAGTCCGGGCTGTGTTTTTCCCCTCTGTTGAACCAACACTCCTGATAAAGCTGGGAGCCTTCCGGCGACTCCCTCAAAGAGCCCTCGCCTTTCATCGCCTGTTCCAAGCACGCAGCGTGGCCAATCCCAGAGAATCAGGACTCCCGAATTCCCCCCTGGCCCTCCTGCCAAGGGGGGCCCTGACCTGCGCCCCCACCCTGCATGGAGGTGGGTGCAGTTTGTGAGCTCAGCTGGGGGGATGAGATCAGCCCGTGGGAGCAGCACATCCACGGTGGGACAGTGCTGAGTGGGGTGCTGGCACCCACCCACAGCCCCAAAAACACGGCTTCACCCCTGGGGCTGGGTCAGAGCCGGGGATCTCTGCCCCAGACACGCACCGGGTGACTCACGGGAGGGCACCCAGAGGCAGCTCCTGCGCCGCTAACCCGGAGGGACCCCCAACGAAGCTGTGGAGCTCAGCTATTCCTGGGAACCAGCCCCAGCTTGCCTGGCTTTCAAGGCCTTCTCTTATCTTGTGCAGCAGCTCGGGCTCATTGTGCAATCTCTCCCCACTGGAGACGTTACCAGCCAGGATTTATGGCTTCTGTAGTTTCCCTTTCATCGGCCCAGCTGGGGAAGCGCTGGCGGAGGATGAAAGCGGCCGGTCCGGGAGGGATGTCAGGAGAGCACTTCAAAGGCTGCCGGTGCTCTGAGTCGCGTTAGGATACTCGGGATCCTTCTCTTCCAACCATCCAACACTTTCAGGAGCCTCTCCCTCCTTGAGCTTAAGCGTTTGGACCCAGAGTGAAGCACCTGCAGCAGGATTTGCCCTCAGGAGCCCCCAGCAAGTTCCTCCTCACCCGCAACGGCAGCACCTTCCTCCTGACCCCAGCCCTCTCCAAACACTTCACTCCCAAGGAAAATGAAGTGCCAGCTGGCTCTGACCAGCGCAGTGGCCACCACAGATCCACTCTGGAGCAAGAAGTGCCATGGGAAAGCTGAGCAAGCTCTGCTGTAAGGACTAACTGGCCATGAGGGAAGTGTGGGCTGGAGGGGAAGAGCCTGAGAAGGGATTTGGACGCTGATCTCTGTCTCACATTGCCCTGTGGGCAAAGTCCCACTGTGAGAAAGTTTCCTCATGTGCATCTTTCACTGCCCACTGGGACAAAAGGGTCTCAGACCAACTGAGCTGGTCTGTCCCACTCTGGTGCCTGGAGGGACCCAGGGACAATCCCCGCCCTGTGAGCTGCCTGCAAGTGTGCAAAATTTCCCTCCTCAGGGAACCCAGCAGAGAACAATTCCCCCAAAGGTCAGAGCTGCATTATTTCACACCCCTCGTGTGCTGATTCTGGCTCCAAGTCCACGAGGAGCTCAGAAATTAAAGCCCCTTGAAGAAATCCCACCCAGAACCCTCAAACCCACCCGGCCTGCAGTAAATGCCCCTTGTGTGCTGTTGTGGCTCCTGATTGCTGGGTGAGTGGGTGGCAGCGAAACCACTGCCTTGAAACCCAACAAAACACAGACTGCAGCAACTCCCAGTCCCTATAAGAAATACTGCCTGGGGGAATTAAAACTCAGAAGTAGCTGAAGCAGCACATGCCTTGCCCACACACAAGCAGGATCTGTGAAAACTGCCAGCATTTCCCTCCCCTCCGTCCTTGCCTGGCGCTCCCGTGTCACAGGGGATGGCACTTGGTGGGCAAAGAGCAGTTTGGGTTGGCCAAGTGCCCCGAAAGGACAGAGAGAGCAGCACAAGCTCCATCCCTGGGTTGTGTTTCAGACACAGCCACAAGCAGGACACGGCTCAGCCCACCCAGGGCAAAGGAACAAGCTCAGCTGCAAAGCCCCAGAATGGGGCTGGACACTCACAGGGCTCTGTGATGCTCCTGGGATGTCACTGCCAGTCCCCAACAAAGCTGATAAACTGGAGCCCCTGGGACCAGCACAGGCAATAAAAGCTGATTTCCTCAGGGCACCTGCCCTTGTCCTCACTCAAACCCCCTCCAGGGCAGCAGCCTCAGCTCCCCTTTTCACCCCAGGAGCTCCTGAGGTGCAGCTGGGGCTTGTCTGGAGCTCCACATGCCTGTTTAGGCCCCGGTGCTGCTGCCAGAGCAGCTTCATTGGCCAAGCTCTGCCCCCCAAAGGGTCCTCATTTAGATCTCAAAGGGTTGCTCGTGATACGTCCAAGTCTCCTCGTTGGGAGCTACAGATGGAAAACTCTACCAAGAGTCTTTCAAAGGAAATCATTCCTTTGGATTTTTGAAATTATTTAAATGAAAAGAAAAAAAAATAAGAAAAGGGGAATCATTTACCCTACAGTTTAATTTCCGTTTTTGCTACAAATGCAAACAGTTTACCTGACACGGACAAGAAATGAATTGGAGGCCTCCAGAATCAACTCCAGGGAACTGCTGTTCACCCTTCTTCCTCCTCAGAGTCTTCCCAACAAGAATTGCACCCCAAAACCAACCCCCAACAACCGTGCAGCTGCAGAGCAGTAGCACAGCGTGGCTGTTCACAGGGCCCAGCTTTGTGTTCAAAAGCAGCAAAGTCTGTAAAGGCATCACAGGGCAAAGGCTGCAGCAGGATGGGGGCATGGAACCAAGGGAGAAACAGGAGGAGAAGCTGTCAAGGATGGGAGATCCAGCTGGGAATGCAGAGTCCAGCCTGAGTGCTGGGCAGGAGCTACAGAGTCACAGGATGCTGTGTTGGAAGGGACCCACAAGAGCCATCCAGTCCAACTCTTCACCCTGCCCACGACAACCCCCCCAGGTCACACCCTGTGCCTCAGAGTGTTGGCCAAACTCTTCCTGAGCCCTGGCAGGTTTGGTGCTGTGACCACTGCCCCGGGCAGTCTGACCAACAAAGCTTCCCGTTCCCAGCTCACATCCCCCAGCTGGTATTTTCAGGTATTTTCTGGGTTCTGCTCCCCACTCCAAGCAATCCCACTTCCGTGAGCCACAGCCCCTTCTGCCCAGTGGGAAGGGACTGGAACAGGGAGGCTTGAAAGGCACAGCAGATCAAAGCGAGCCCTGCGCTGCCGCGCTCGGCCGGGCAGGCGCCGCTCGCAGTTGAGTAAGCTCCCTGCTTGGCACCCTCTCAAACCTGCTGCTGCCTCCGAGTGTTTGAGTGCTCCCAGAAGCTTCTCACAATCAGCTTTGGTGATCACACCCCGTTTCAAACGTTGCCACGTTCTACCCCCAAGAGCTCAGCCCCGTCAGTGATTTCTGCCCGGGCCGACGCGTGGACAGGGGAGGGCGTTTTCAACCAGCGCTGCCCTCAGACTCATTAAGAGCAGCACTATCGCTCCAATCAGGCTCCTTAAAATAAGAATTCCATGTGCAAACTGACAAAGTCGTTCTCCTGGGTCCTGCCAAGCCCTTCGCCGCAGGCAAAGCAGTTGAGACGTCCCTTAGCATCGGCTCTGTTTGTTTATTTATAAAGTTCACATGTTTGATCTTCGTTTAGCAAGTGTTTTCATCTCTCTGGCCAGTGGTAAGAAGGCAGCAGTTCTCCTCTTGAGTCAAAGAATCATGAGTTCTCTTCTTCCAGCTCTGGAAACCATCCAGCATCAGTTTTGAGAGCTCATCCCAAATTTAGGCAGGCCAAGAAGGGCGGGAGGTTCTGCAGGGCTGCTCCTCTCCCAGGTACCAGCCAGGCTCTGGCTGTCACCTCAAACCAAGACTTTTTGGGAATTACCTCCCAACACTTGACTAATTTCCCTCATTTTGAACACAGCCACCACGACCCCAAGTTGCTCAGACACCACAACTTTTGGGAGCCTTGGGAGGAACTCTAACCCAGACTGAAACACTTTGTCTCTGCCCGAGCTGCCGCGTTTTATCCCGCTGGAGATTAAACTGTTTTCAGTCTGCCTATGGACTTCAGGAGACCCCCCCCAAACCCAAGCATCGGGAGTGAATCAGTCACCACATCCAGGGGATCTTGCTTTGCAGTGAATTCAGTGAAGCCAAGGCCTGGAGCAGCAGTTCCTAAATGTTTGTGATTAAAAACTCAGTTGCTCCTCATGAACCCTGGTAACACCATCCCCTGGTCTGTGAGCCCATCAAAGGCTCTCCTTGGCCTCCTGTGATCCACTGAGAAGAGTTTGGGAGCCACTACAGTTAAACATGATCAGTGAGTCACTGCATCCATCCTTTCTCCTGGAGACTCTCAGAGGCAGCAAAACCCTTCAGACACTCAGCTCACACTCAGCTTCCACTGTAACCCCGAGAGCCCTCGGGCAACCACCTGCAGTGAGCTCCCTTTCCATCCCTGTCCCTTTGCATCCCACTGAAAACAAAGGTCTGTCCAGATTTCTTCTTCCTTTCACTACCCTCTGACAAACTGGTTCACTCCTGTGCCAGGAGGTGGGTATCTAAAACATCAGCTCCAAACACACGCAGAAATAAGAGAAAGACCTGCTTGGTAGTGAAAATATAATTTTATTTAACAATAGCTGCCAGCAGTATACTGGTATATCCGTAAAAGATGTTCCAGAGAGTGAAAGACATTAAGCAAAACTACAATAAATTGTATCAACTCTTCAAGTATTTCTGCAAACAACGCTCCAATCCTCGATGTCCCGTCTGGGGATCCCAGCTCTGCTCCCACCTCCTCCCGAAGCACGGAGTGTGAGGAGCTGAGCTTCTGAGGCAGATCAGCTATTTCTTTTTGGCTGGGGGTCAAGCCTCCTCCTGCAAACATTACCTGGATGTGTTCAGATAGTTGTGAGTGGCAAAAGAGCCCAGCAAAGTTGACTTTGTGCTCTGCCACGTTTTTGTTGCGAGCCCAGATAGGCATCGGCGGGTTTGGCTCGAGCGGCCTCAATTTATTCCTGTCTGTGCTCCTTTGATACCAAATGCTAATTTGCTACTTTAGCATAAAAATCTGATTACATCTCTCTTCTTATCACGGAGCTGCACGCAGTCCAGGCATGCCCACTGTGGAAATAAAAAAAAAAAAAAAAAAAAACCCAGCAATTTTATGGGAAAATAAAAAGCTCCGAGGCAGGGACCGTGCGGTGTGGGACGTCCATCCATGAAGAGGTGGACAGGGAGGCTCTGGAGGGCGTGGAATTGCTCCATGAAGTTCACATGCCTCTTGTTCCACAGGCAGCCCTTCCAAACAAGGGATCTCTTCGAGAAGGAAAGCTTTGTTAAGGGGAAAAAAAAAAATATAACCCTAATCATGCATATATAGGATAATCTGCTCTCCCACACAAAAACAGGGTGCAGATGATGGATTTTCCCTTTGTGTTCAGGAAATACACAAGTCACCTGTTTTAATGCGAATTTAAGCATATTTCAGCTTGAGAATAAAGTAAGTTATTCAGCATGCTAATACATGCAACCAACTTGCAAACTGGAATGCCAACTTGAAAGGGTAACTGCTGTTTTTAAATTGTACAAGGGGCTTGAAGCAGCATTTTAAATTTAAACAGGGGGGCAGATTAATTGCTGTTTGATGAAATTAAAAATGCATTTAAAGATCAGATTGTAAACAAGTTGACAGAAGTCAAGAATTTACATAGTTATGAAAGGGCTTTTTTAATTAATGTGGAGCTGGTGATTGGGGCCAGATGAAAGTGCTCTGCCCACACCAGACGCTGAGCCTTTCCCCGGCGCTCTGCAGGGATCACCTAGGGAGGAGAGAGCAGCTCCTCTCCAGGACATTCCTGCTCACTCCCGAAGCCAGGAGGGGCTGGGCAGCTCCTGCCACAACAAAACTGCGCAGCAGGAGGCCCGAGGGACAGCCCGAGTGCTTTCACACAGGACAGTTACCAGCCATCCCAACCCCGTCGGGAGATAAGAAACACATCAGTCCCAGCCAGAGCTCTGCCTTTGTTTACAAGCTCTCACGCACAATCCTTAGAGTTACAAGGGCTTGGAGATTGCCTAAAAAGCAGAGAGGATGTTTTATCTCCCACGGGCCAAGGGGTGTTTGAGGAGCTGGGGTTGTGTTTGCAGCAGCTGCGCCCCAGAAACCGCGGCCGAGCGTTCGGTGCTGCCAGCCCTGCCCGGTGCCTGAGCCCCACGGTGGGCACAGCTCGGCTCATCTGCTGGGAAAGGCCTCCTCAACCTCCCTTCCTACAAATTCCAAGGGCCAGCTCATCTATTATTTTTTTTTAAGATATGCCCCCAACTGTTGCTTCCTACAGTTTAGTTTGTAAAGGTGAGCTACGATGGCAAAGAGCACCAAACCAGTGAGGGCTGGGAGGGGATTGTTGTTCTTGTTTGTTTTTTTTTACCCTCTCTAGTCACTAAAAATGTTGTTGTCTAAGTAAAAAAAAAGACATTCCTTGTTCTAGATGTCACGTTGCAGCAAAGACTGAGCCCCTACAGAGGATTATTATGGCTGAGCAACTTTATTCAGGAGGAGAACGTGACATCAGAATACAGTGATTATTAAAAGGCTACAGTTCAGGTTTTCCTAACCAGGTCACTCTGCAGAATTTCCTTTCTGTGCCTGAACACCCCTGCAGTAAATCAGAACAGGGTCTAAGTGTATCTAATACAGTTGCCTTTGAAAGACAAGTTACAGGATTTACTAACTGCCTTTATACTGGAATTGTAGCTCTAGGAAGGCAAGACAAGGCACCACAAGCCATGGATACAAATCTGGATCTGGTTCTCTACCTCTTCTATGTCAAACTAACTCCACGGGTATATAAAGTAGCAAAAAGCAGGAGGCCTGTAAAAGTCAGGCTGCTTTTCAGAAAGCCAGTGCTTACCAAAAAAAAATTAGTGTATAAAAGTGTTTATGTGAGCATTTTCCACGTTATTGCAGAATGTTAAATATTCCAAGAACAACCTAGCAGGAATAGCACTTTCCAGCTTCTAAAATCAGTTAAATATAAAAGTATCTTTACAAAAAAATAGGCATATAAGTCTAGCATTCTTTGGAGTTGTTTATGATGGTCTTTTAAAAATAACCTAGCAGTTCACTTCATGCATCAAAATCATTAATTTTAAACAAGAAAACTATTCCCTGGTTTAGAAACATTTGAAAATTGCTCTTTAAAAAAATTGTAGTGCTATTCCCTCAGCGTTGCTGTAAAAAGGTTCTGCATAGTAGTGCAATGATTATGATCATGCAAAAATTGCAGTCCAGGTGCACACACCAGCAGTTGGGATGAATTCCATGGAAAGGACTGGATCCCACCCACCCCACCCCCCACCACTTCTTTACAAAAGTCATCAACAGATTTTTCCTTTCAGGAAAAAAAAAAAAAAAAAAATCCAGGCCTGCATACTAAAATTTAAGGCAAGTGTTGTCTTTCAAAGGTCACTTCAGCTTTCTTGAGGAAAGAAAGAGCATAAAAAAAGTTGCCCAAAGGTTCCCAGGTCGTGGCTCTCGGGGCATTTTGCACATCACTAATCATTGCACTGCTATTCACAACTAGGACACTACAGTTTACATGGACTTGGTTTATGACAGAACAGGTTGGTTTTTAAGTAAATATCACCAAAAAGACCTATACAAAACAAAGGCTCTTAACTACCAAAAAGAAACCACTTGCAGTTTTCCGGGTGAGCGGGTGGCAGTTCCAGTTGTGCCGTTTCCTGGTGGCCAGGGCTGTCCTGACAAGTGTTTTTCTGCTGCAGCTCACAATTCAGGACAGAAGGAGCTGCTTGAGTCTCATCAGGCTCTTGAAGACACAACTAAAAGAACCAACTGTGAACTTCCTGCTACAGCACTCAAGTCTAAATTCCAACTTCCCTGATGGTCCTTCAGATCCAAGCTCCACATCGAGTCCATTCCCAACCATTATGGTGACTTCAAATCCAAGAGATTATTTTTTTTTTTTACATTAAAATCAAAATCGCCAAATATTCTGCAAATGGCTCTTTTGGATAATAAGTTCCCTTCTCTATGTAAATAGGATAGACAAGCAGGTACAGTTCAACGTGTCACAGGTACTGACAACTGTGTACAGATCTTCTGGAAAAGCAATAAATTCCAAAATACATAAATATTCCTTGTACCATACAGCGAGACAGTGTCCTAAACCAACTCATGGACAGGGACCAAATGTTTACAGAGGAAAGCAAGAGGGGCAAGGCAATCCTTTGACACTGGAGAATCCAGAGTTCCCTCAGTGCAACACGACTGCATGAATGATATTCAAAGGAGGGAAGGAAAAACAAGCCTATAATTAACTCTGCAAACTTTAGGTAATTACTGTACCTGGTCTATCCACCGTAACTTTGAATAACTGCAAGTTCATGCAAAACAAAAAACAACAAACCAACAAAAAAATTGCTATATCTTATCTGGAAGGAGCAGTCTGTTAGAAGCATTGTTATGGAATATGCAGGAAGTCATCCTTTTGCAAGTGCTGATTACTTGGTGAGTCTCTTGGCTACATCACTGTAGGCTATTTCAATTTCTTTGTCTCCAGGACAGGTGTTGGTGAACTCATCCCTGCTGTAAGCATTCGTCAGGTATCTCCAGATCCCTGTCATTTCCTTGGGGATCTCGAAGTTGCGGTATTTTTTGGCCACCACCTAAAATGGAAAAGAAGCGGGTTATGAATTTGCATCTTCCAACTTAAAGCACTTTTCTGTCGCTGGTCATTCTCTTGTGGGGTTGTCCTTCCAGGCAGGGCACTCAGAGTCATTGCTAAAGCCAGCAGGAGCTGCTCCTCAGGGATACACCCGGCCCTGGCAGCTCCCTCTGGGTTTGTCCTCAGCCAAGGAAACGCTTCTGCACCCAGGCAGAAAGTGGATCTGTGGCTCCATCTGCAGTACAGAACTGACACAGGTCCCTGGAGACAGGGAGAGAAACCAAACCACGGCCATACAGACACACCTGCACTCCTCTGGTTATCCCAGGCCGCCTCTTCCTGGACTTCCAACTCTCTGTGTTTTAATACAGTCCTTTTATTTCACCTTGTGTCATTTCCTTGGTTGCACACAGGGCAGTTTTCCCTACAGGAGTGAGCAGTCATCCACTCCCACCATCAGCTGCTCACCTCATCTCCACCTTCCTTCTTCCACCTCACTGACCTGAGCACTGCAAACTGCCTGTTGTGACCAGGGCAGGAAAAGGGGTTTGGCTTCTACCACTTCACCCTCTGTCTACAGGTTCACACCCCACTGAATCCAACTGCTCCAGCCCCTTTGTGCACGACCCAAACCTTGCTTCAGGTGCTGTTAATGCCGTAATTAAAAACCTACACGGGAGTTTACAAACAGATGGGATTAGCTGGGCTCTAGAACATCACAGATGGAATTTGCTGGGCTCTAGAGCATCACAAGCCATAAGGGTAAAAAACTCTTGCCTTTCCCAGCCCCTCCAAGGCCTCACCTTGACGATGTGCAGCTTGGGCAGCAGGTTGCAGTCTGCCAAGGTCATCTCGTTGCCGTCCAGGAACTTGCGCGTGGACACGGGCACGTCCTCCATGCTGTTCTCGTCGATCTCGTCGGGCAGGGGTGAGTTCAGGTACTCGTCCAGTTTCTGGAGGGTTTTCAAGAGGCCACGTTCTAAGGCTGCAGGGGGAGATTTAAGGGTTTGTTTTTAGGAACAAGGTAGATTCTCATTTATAATGTTGGTAGCAGCTCCCCAGCACAGCCCGTACACTGAGGGGTTTGTAACCCCCGGGCAGTGTTTGTGGTATCAGCACTGCTGGAGGTGGCTTTGTGGTCACCAGGAACACTGGAACTGAACCAGAATCCCTTTAAATACCCCACACACATGCAGGTTATTTAAAAGCTGGTTAAAACACGAGTTTACACTGATTTAAAATACTCTAAGACTGTCCACAAGGGTTTATTTTTGGTTTAAGAAGTGGCTTATGTCAGTTCCTTAAGACTGTGCCTAACTGGCTTAGAATTAAGAATTAGAATTGGAATTAAGCTATGCTGGGGTTTATATACATTTAAACATAATCTGTTTAATGGCACATGCTCAGCAAACAGCCACGACCAGAGTCCCCAGGAGGTTTCTGGAATGCAACAGCAGAGGGCAGCACACCCCACAAAATCCCAAATTGTTCCTCAGCTCTTTACAAATATTTTGCATCTCCCCCTTTGAAACACTCCTGGCTTTGGTTTTCCCTCAAAGCACACCGAGGATGAAAGATTTGGACTAAACTGTTTGAAGGCCCAGCTGTGAATTCTTTATCACCTATTGATCTCTGGTGTTGCATCGACTCGTTTTCCCTCCACACACAAAGGTCTTAATCCCTTAAAAAAAGCAACAGGGACTGAGCTGAGCTCAGAACTCTGAATGGAGCCCTCAGTCCTGCAGAGGTGAAATGATCAAGTGCAAAAGCATGCATAGAAACCCAAGCACTGGGGTGTGACACAGACACTGCAGGTTCTGGATGTTAAAATGTTTATATTTCATTCCAGAGTTTGGAGTGGCTGGAAATATCCAGTACCAGAGGGTATTTCCAAACCCTGCTGACATTTTGACCGAACACTCACTGCAGGTCTCTTTCAAAGTTTGGAATCTCTGATTAAACCACATTAAAGCACAGATTTAATTCCTGAGGCTCTCCCAGGGGTCCATCAACACACAGCTCAATTGGGCAGTGAGACCCTTCCCAGCAAAGCTGCTCTGAAAAGCACCAGCCATTGAAAGAAAGCCCTTGTGCCCAGGCACTGCCCCCCAGTGACCCACCTTCATTAGCTTCTGGTCTAGAGTTTTTGATAAATGCAGAAAATTTGGCAAATATGTCCATCCCAGCAGTGTTTGACTCTGGATGCTTTGGTGAAAGTTTTAGGTATCTGGAAGGCAGAAAGGAGGAGATTACAGCACACTTAGCACAATGATGGTCATCATATATATTAACATCATATATATATACAAAATGGCCCTTCTAAAAATATTCTATATAATGTAGGTTTACCAGTTTATCCATTCTCAGAGTTGCTTCTGAAATGTAACATCACACACTCCCATTTGAGTTAAGATTTTTAAACCCACTTTTAAATCACTTTTCAGAAGATCACCAGAGCATAACCCTGCTTTCTGAATCAGGCATTTGCTTCAAGCAGATAACAGTTCATAGTCAGGGATCAAGCAGGTAACTAATTAAACACACTTGTCTGTTCCTTGTACATAAAAATAAATATCAGATGGCCTTCTCCACTTAAATTAACATCAGCTGTTCCTGAATATTGTGGATTCCAAATCTTTTAACAAAAACCAGCGAAGTCTCGCCACACTAAAAAGACAAAACAGTGTGTCAGAGGCAGTGTCTGGGTTTGCTGAGGAGAGGGAAGCCAAGAGTTCTGAGAAAGCCTGAACACATCACAGCAGGGCCCCTCTGCAGCTCATTGCAAGTCAGGACTAAGCTTTGTAGAGCAGACTCGTCTTCATCTGCATGGTTTGGACACAGCAGGACAACACTGAGCCTGGAACTGCAGGAAGGGGGACAGGACCCCACAGAGGACAACTGGAAAATAATCTCCAAGAGAAAACAGTTCTTAATACAGGGATGAGGGAGCTGGAGAGGAGAAGGTGTGACAAGCAAGAACCCCAAACTGTTTTCCATGTCTTCAGTTTATTGATGCTGAAGAACATCACTTGGTGCAGGAGATCCCTGTGAGAACAGTGTTTATCTAAGGGGGCAAACCATCATTTTAACACTTACTTGGGTGGAGCCAAAACATCTTCCAGGAACTCTTCAATCTTGTTCACATCTGTTCTCACTTCCCCGTTGTATGTGATGAAGGGGGGGTGAGTGCCTGGAGCCAAATTTTGAAGGTCTGCTGGTTTTCTAGGGTGAAACACAAACCAAGACCAGAGTAAGCAGGGGACACCCTTCCACTGCTCCAACCACAAAAGCACTGCCTGAGCTCTTCCCATCCTCACAGTCTTAAAAAGACATCACCAGTTTGCTTTTTAAAAGGCGAGTTTACAACCTGATTAGCATTTGGAATATACTTCATAACAATTTTAAAACACTTTAAACCAACTGCTTCCTCCCACCCCTGGCTATGTTTATTCTCAAATCAATACAATGTTGACTGGCAGGGGGATATTTATACACACACCCTCCCCACACAGACACACTCTCTCTTTCCCAAGCTCTGCAGAAAGGTTTATATATAGAATAATCTGTGCTCAGTGATAATCCTCCCCCTTCACACAGACCTGCTCTGGAAATGAGCAGCTCTGATAGAGAGCAGTGTGTATAAACCATTTCTCACGTGCTCAGGGCATCTGGTTTGGACAAGCTGACAGATGCTTTAACCATCACATTTCAAGTTTCATCCAGTAAAAAAAGGGCTATTTACAAAGAGGAGCAGCACACCTGGGGCAGGAATGGATTTACAGGAAATCCTCCTGGCTGTGCAGGGAAACCTCCACACACACAGCCAGGGAGGGCAGCAGGACAAAGCAGGGCTGTCAGGGGCACTCTGGAAACTAAGCACAGTATAAATATTGTTTTCCATTTCTCCCCAAAATGAAGATCCCCTGCCAGAATTTCATGCCAGGTGACACAAGTCTTATTAATACAGGAATTTGGCTATTTTCAATTTTTAACCTTCAAAGAGGTTATTTCTCACGAATAGTTGCCATCACTCTCTCACTTTTAGGATTCGAAGCCTGTCATTGGTTAATGCTTTAAGTAGCTTAACACTTCATTTAAATACAGCTTTGTAACTCCCAACAATTACAGGAAGTCCTGGTGGCTCCCTTCCAATTTTGCATGTTCAAGAGATAAAATTCCTCAAAAGGAATGTTATTTTAAAAACAAACACAGGCAGGACCACCGGATTTGCAGCAATACTATCAAAGGCAAGGCTGATTTAGTTCAGAAGCAGACTGGTCTGATGAACTAACCAAAAAAAAGTGTTCCCAAGAACCAGAGTGCATCTCAAGGACCCCAGAGCACTTTATTAATCCAGCCAGACCACCTGGATCTTTGAAGGAAAAAGAGAGCAGGGATTTAATATCCCCCAGCCAAGGCCCAAACATCACAGAGGGGTTTAAACTTCCAGTTTGCTTCTCTTGCCAGGAGATTACAAACAAACCCTGGTTTACCAGAGAAGAGTCACAGCACACAGGAATGGCCTTAAAAGGCTCAGAGTGAAAATTCCCTTAACAGTCAAACAACAAGGCCATTAAAAAATCACAGTGAAGTTTTACTTTACAGATAAAACTGGAGAGCTTAAAAAGAAAAAAAAAGCCAAACTAAAACTAATAATAAAAAAAAAAACCTTGAATAAGCACTCCAAATAATTCCTGCCTGGGTTTTTGGAGGCAGGGCCACGTAATGAAGGATCTGGCTGTCACTGCCTAATGAAGTGGGCAGGTTCTTGAGCACCAGAAATAAGGTGTTAACATTTCCTGGCTTTGCCACAAACCAGGATGGCAATTGGCATGCAAATCATTTCTTGGAGATCAGACAAAATCCAGCCCCCAAATGCAGTGTGTGCTGCAGTGATTTACAAATGACACATGAACTGCAAGGAGGGGCTGAAGAGTGAGGAGGGGAAAAATCAGCAATAACCCCCCCTGTGCCCAGTTCCACAGCAGCTTGAGGTGGATTCACCTTTTAACATTTACTGATGTCATTATTTAAACTCTGTCTGTCAACAGAACTGCGATGAGATGTTTGGAACAGGAGCTGAGATGTCAGCTGAAGGCAAACTGGCCCCACGGATGGTTCCTGTGCTGCAGCTCTGCTCTGGCCACCACAACAAGTCAGAGCTCTGAGATGCTGCTGAGAAGGGGAAGAATAAACCCTCTGTCTGCCCCAAGAGAAGCAAGAAATGCCCAATCCCTTGGGAAGGGTGGGATTTGCCACTTTGTTTGCCCCCTGGGCATATTTGTGAGTGTGTGTGTCAAGAACTGTAAACGTTCCTTTCTGTCAGCACAGAGTGATGTGCAGAGCAACCATTGGAGGGGAAAAATGCCCACCCTGCACTCAGCCACGCCAGGCTCAGCTTTTCCAGCGTCCCAAGTTCCCCACTGGTGAACTTTTGTACCCAACCATGACCTTTTAAGCCTCACAAACAGACAGAGCTGGCCTTGCTGTTGTGCACAAACAAGGCAGAGACAGGGTTTGCAAGGAAAGCCTTTTTTTTTTGCTAATAAAATAAATTCAGATGCTTAAAACAGTTGCTACTGTGCTCTTCAATGAGAGGTTTTAGCAGGAACAAAAAGCAGAGGAGATAATTGAATGAATGATGTGCTTGAAAAGCAGTTTCTTGTGACAATATTAGAAGTATTAAGGCAACACCTACAGCTGTTATCATCCTGGTAATGATAGCAAGGGAAAACAACCCCATCTGGTATCAAACATTTCCTACTGAGCAGGTAGTGCATTTGACATTCTGCTATTCTTCAACAGGATATTGGGTCAATCCAGAATGTTAAAGTTGTATTTATGAAGCTTTAATTGAAGTCTAAAAGGAATTAAGTTTGTATCAACATCTATTCAAAAATCTGAATTAGTTTCAGTGGTCCTTGGTTTCCCTCACCAGAAAATCCCTCCAGTGCACAACAAAAAGGGAATTTATTTGGCCTCTTCCTCTGCAGTTCCTTAATTCTGCACTTATTTTGTGTTTTCCCCTCCCTGATATTTAAAAAAACCCAACCCCAAACCTGAAAGAAAGCTTTCCTTGTGTAAGAAAGGTCAACTTTAAACATCTGCAACCAATTTCTCCACTACAAGTTACTCTTACACCCCATTCCCCCAGCCAGTTAACTCCAAGTTGCTACAGGGACACGAATAAAGCCAATTCATCATTTTAATGATATCTCTGAGTGGTTCAGCAGTAAAAATTCTTCCAGGTCTAAAACATATCTTTTCACCTTCCTCTCATCCCCCATCACCCCAATAACTGTACAGGAAGTCCAAACCTACAGACATTCAGGAGCACAAGTTCTGCTCCTGAGGTTTCCCCCCAAACCACAGATGGAAGATGTTCTCCACTGCCTTCCAACATCTGCAGGCAAGGGCTTTGAGCAGCTACAGATGCTCACACAGCTGACAAAAGCTGCTTTCTCCTCCTGCCTCAGCCCCACCACACATGGAAGTCTTTAACACTCCTTGCCAGCCCCGAAGCAGCAACTCCAGTGGTGTGGTTTTGTTTTTTTTTTAAATCCAAACAAACCACCTCTTTCAAAGAAAAAAAAAAAGGAAATTTAAGAGGTTAAGTCTAGCAGGGTGATTTCTTCCTTATTTGCTGGGTTCAGAGGAGAGCAGGGTGTATTTCCATTGGCTTCATTCCTGACAATCAGGGTTGGAAGCACTGGCAGCCTCCCCCTCTCTGTAGCTCAGTGACCAACATTGTATTCCAGGAGTGCTGGGAAAACATTACTTCACACCAAAAGCAAACACAAAGCCTCTGCTGAATTTAACATTTCAAAAAAAAAAAATGAACACCCAACTTTAGGAAACTGAGACTCCTGGATTCACTTCCCACCTTCCTCACCCACCTTTTGGAAGTGTAGAAGCTGCTTTTTAAGTGACACACAGCATTGTGACATATCAGGCTGACACTGCACAGAGCCAGAATATTCCACATTTTATTCCTACCCACTTGGCTTGTATTTTTTTTTCATTATTATTACAGCAAAATAAGCAAAATCATCTTAAAGTCTTGCAGAAAAGGAGGAGGGTGCACATTATCTGTGACAGTTATCCAATAACCACTGGAGATCTGACCAAAACACCCAGCCAGCAGTTTACACTTGATGTGAAGTTAGCAAAGCAAGATTCAATATTCAGTTATAACATTTCTATGTCAGTTATAATGTTCAGGTGAACTGTTTTTCCAGGAGCATCACTGAGCAAATTTAAGAGGATTTACCAGACTCCTTCTTTTTGCTTACAGACACTTGATTTTTCTCAATTTCAGGGAATCAGCCCTGCAAACCCCTGTTACCCCAAGAGCACCCGATTGCCCCATAAATCAGGTATTTCTTACCTCTTCAGGTCAACTGTTGTGACACTGAACACCACTCCCTTCAGCCACAGGATCATGAACAGCCTCTGGGAAAAGGGGCAGTTTCCTATGCTCTCACCATCGCTGCCAGCCTGCAGAGAGAACACAGCACTGGTCAGGGGGTACAGAGATGCCACCCCCACATGCCCACGGGCTCTGAGGGGTTTTAGTGACAGGCAAACCGAGCAGCAGCTGAAATTCTCACATTTGTCAAGCCAAGTAATAACCCCTTGAGCCGTCACATCCTCATGAAACACAGCCCAACAATATTTCAGTCAACACAAATTCCCTCTCACTGAGGATGATCCAACACCTCCCTCTGAGCAGCCACACCTTGGGATGGCAGCTTCCCAACACCAATATTGTTCTTTATCATCCTTTTTTTCCCCCCTTCTTCTCCAAGGCACTGCTGATTGCCTGGAGTCCTCTTGCAGCTGCTTCTGTCAGTGGCTGTGCAGGCTGCAGGGAGCCAACTGCACCCAGGCACTGAGAACCTCGATGGCACTGCAGGAAACACAACTGTGAGTACATAGAGACTTCACTGACAATTCACTCATATCCCAAACCCATTTTTTTATAGACAATTCCTCAGTAAAGGCTTTGTCCTGCCACAACAAAGGTCCATTAGGCAGCAGCAGCAGCCCCCCAGGGCAGCCAGTGATGGCATGGATCTCATGATTGCTCTGACAATGAGGGATGGATGGCTGAGCTGGAAAAACCCACTGCTGGGTTTGAAGTGGGCAAGAATGAGGCACTGGAAACCTTGAATCTTGGTATAAAATTCCATCCTCTGAAGAGCAAACTGGCTCAGTAGTTAAAGCAGCTGCTGCAAATGGCAGATCTTGAGGTGTGCTTTGTATCAGATGAGTTTCAATGGATTTTGCTTATTGTTATTTGGGTCCTTCCAAGAGTAATTTTAATGAGCACAACTTCCAAAACCTGGCCAGTTCTTCCATCATCACAGTGGGGAGAATGAAGAAAGACTTTGCACACCAGGCCAGGAGGATTCAAACTCATTTATGTTCCTGCACTTTCCACAAGTGTCCCTCCTGTCAGCTCTGACTCCCCTTCCCAATACTTTGTTGTGGACAATAAACAGAGCTGGTTTTGTTCAAACCTTTATCAGTGTCATTAATGAAGACTTGAAAGAAAAAGGAAGTTGTCTTTCTGCCATAAATTACAAATTGCCTCCTTTATCTTTGGAAAGTAAAGCATAAAACTGGTGGTAGATTAATGATTGTCTTACAAGCTGCCACGAGACTTCTCATGTTCAGGAGAACAAATTCCAAAAGCATCTCAGAAAGGATCAAACAGAGTTTGATTGGTTACTCTGGGCACTCTGCTCTTACAACAGGTAGGTGTGGCTGTTGTGAGGATTCCAGCCAGGTGGATTTGTGTGTTCCCATCTCAGCAGACACTTCCATGAGGAATCACTTCACTCTGCACTCCGTGTCTGCCAGCTGTGTTTTATGGCTGTTAATATTTAACCACACTGCTGTCCTGCAGATAGCAGGGTGCATTTCAGCAATTCCCTCCAGACTTACATGGCTGTGTTTACACTGAACAGACATTTCCTACAGGTAAATTATAGATTTATACTCATCTGCCTTTTTTTTGCCACGTGTAAGATCTTATCTGACCTTTGAAAAAGACAACACTTCATTCCCATCTAAGGAAAATACACAGGCTTCACATTATGAAGCAGAAACAAACCTCTGATTGAGAAATTATCTTGATCTTCAAGTTTTATGGCAACTTCAAGCAAGCTACTCAGAGCAAAGCCCCTGAGGTGACACCACAGTAGCAGCACAGGCTGGATGCCCCCAGCCCATTGAGCTTTACCTCACTCAGCCCACTGGAACCCGAAGCAAAGCCACTTTAAAAAAATCACTGAACTGAATGGAGAAGTGTTTAAAAGTTCAGGCACAGCAGAGAGCTGTGGCTTTCATTAAGGTCCATCCTCCTCAGCCAAAGTCAAAGTGCCCAGTGAGGACCAAGAAAGGTCACACACATTTAGGCTGCAGAGCCGACTTGTCCCGAAACTTTCCTTCTCTCCCAACGCCAGTTTAACGTTCAAACCCGACAAACAACAGAGAGCATCTGCTCTTGTTTAGGCCAGACAGGCTTCTTGGATTATTTGACTCAGAAATGAAGGACTGGAGCCCCACACAACATCCAGTGCCACGAGCAAAACCTGCAGCGCTTCCCAAGCTGCAACTGAACCGAGCTCAGCCTCCATCTCCAGTCCAACATTTGTCCCACTTCTGCTCCAAAAAGTCCCAAGTTATTCTGAGCACATACTGGAAAAGGAATGCACTCAGGATGCCAAGAAGCTTTTGGCTCCAGTGCTCTTGAGCCGAGGAATTCTGCCTTGTAACTGTTTGCCCCAGAGGCCCCGTTTTCTGCGCTGGGTTTGGTGCACCGGGCGCTGCTGCAGCCCCCGAGCAGGGACACGGCACTCCCTCAATCCCTCGGGATCTCCTCCACAGCCTCACCACTCTGCTGGATGTTTCTGCAAGACTCTGATTTTCTCCACCAGAGCTGTGCTGGCAGAGAACTCCAAACCTTTCACTGTTGCAGGAATATCCTGGAATTCCAGCCGGCTCGTGGTGTGGGGGGTTCATCACGGAACAGTTGTGCTTGAGCCAGAAACTTGTCACTGCCTTGTCTTTTAATCCAGGCCATAATATTCCAGATATCTCCAGTGTCATCCTCATCACCAGCAGAGTAAAGTAAACATTAAACATTGACTTATCTTGGGTGTTATTCTCCACAAACTGTAATTTAAAAGCTTGTGAAAAGGTGGCAGATTGGGAAGATGGGGCAGGGAAAGAGCTGAGCAAAACCCCAGCAGGGCACTCACCCTCCAGTGTCACATGAGAAACAAACAAAGCTGCTTTTTAAGGAAACTCAAATCAGAAAGTGAGTTCCAATAAGAAGGAGGGAGTTACGAGGCAGTCAAACAAACCAGTCTGCTGGCTGAGACGTCACCCGGGTTTATCACAGCCACAGTAAAACTACTGGCAACTCCCAATGCCAGGCAGCTCAGCCCGGGGAAGAGTGCCAGAGGCTTGGAAAGGGGAAAAAAAAAAAAACAGGGAAAAAAACCGACTTATCCTGCTGTCTGGAAGTCTGAGCAGAGCTGATCCAGCCCAGGAAGCCACCTCCTCCCTTTCTCTTCCCCCGGAGCAGTGATTTCATTCAGATGAGATTGTTAAAAAAATACAAAACCCCAGAGAGTACAAGTAAAAATGCATCTGTTTAAGTGGCTAAACAAGCTAAGTGATGAAAAAAAAAAATCAATTTGTATTGTGAAATGTTTGTCTTTGCAGCTGCATAAAAATTAACCTGACTCCCAGCACAAGAACCTGCCTGGATTTACTTTACCAAGGTGGAGCTGGAGTTTGTGGAAGACTGACAGGAAAAACAGCCGAGCAAAGAAACACAAAGGGACACAAAGCCCTTATTGTGCAGGGCAGACCTGAGGGCAGAGCAGAATTCACACATCTCGGGCCTCAAAGGTCTGCAAAACTGTTTCAAAGAGCAACAAGGGAAAAGGCACCCTCTGAAACTTCCCAAAGTGGATCAAATAACTGCAGAAATAATTGTAGAGTCAAAGTGCCCCTGTGAGGGTAAGACAGAGAGGGGAAAAGACAAATAAATGAGAGGGGATTTTCAAAGTTAAAATTGGAAAATCTGGAAATATGCCTTAGTTGTAGCAATAATAAATAAAAAAAAAACTTGCTGAGAAAACTACATGAGCAAAGCAGAGTGATGCAAACCCATGGCCTCAAACCAGAAGATAACAATCAGCCTTGCATGTTTAATGAGTAGTAAGCTCATTCAAAAACTGAGTAATTAATAATAATCCTATAAGGATTACTGTTTTGAGAGGAAATGGTTTAAGGTAACAAAGTGATTCAAGTGAAAAACCTGCAGCAATTCAACACTCCTGAGATAAAGGAGGAGAGAATACAGAAGGGAGTGGTTTGATGTTGCACACATGAAATACTGAAAGGGGCTGGTGATATCACCCCAATCCTTGCAGGCTCTGAATAAACAGGATTCTGTGCTGCTCACTGAGGGGGTTTCAGATAAGATGTGGGGAGTGACACCCTTGGAGGATGTGCCAGTGTGTGATGGCATAGGGATCAAACACCTCCCTACGGTGTTCCAGCTGCTCCACGAGGCTGCTCAGGGTGGATGGAGGAGCTGTGGGATGTTCTCTGCCAACCAAACCATCTGTGAGGGGCTCTCAGTGTCCCAGTTGTGGTGAAGAGGCATCCAAAGAACAGAACAGGTGAGAAGGCAGTGAGGGCAGAGACAGGAGCGAAGGAGGGTGTGCAGTGATGGTGTTGGATTCCTGCTCACCCTCTCAGGGTGTGGGTTGAGGAGGGAGCTGGTTTGTGTTTTCCCAGCAGGAAGAGGGCAGGGAGCAAGTGAGAGTCAGGCCCTGAATGGGGATGCCACTAAATCCTGTCCAACCAGCCTTATCCCGAGGGATGACAAGCCCACACTTCCTCCTGTCACTCACCCTCCCTCCCAACTCCCCCTTCCTCTGCCTGTCCAGGACAGGGCACAGCTGGTGCCACAACTTCCACAGGAATGCCTTTTCCTCTGGGAGGTGTCCTGGTGTCACATCAAACACACACATTTCCACACACAAGAGTGGCACATTCCAGCAAACAGGGCTGACACTGCTGACAGCTTGGAGGAGTTTCCTGCCCCAACAAACAAACCCAGGGAAGGTCAGAACCCCAAAACCACATCCTGCAAAAGATTCAGAGTATCAGAGGGACCTTCATGCCATGTGTAACACAGATCAAACATTTCATTGCTGCTGCTGCTGGGAACCCACAGGCAGTAACAGCAGCAGGCACTGTGGGGACAGACAGGAACTTAAAATCCTCATTTTCATCATCCTCACAGCAGTGACAGTGAGCAAGGAACACTGATATTTATTGTGTGCAGAAACCTGACCCGTGGGATTTTCCTTTCAAACTCAGCTGTCCTGCTAAGTGTAAAACACAGCACTGAAAAACCACCTTAAAATAGGAAAATTAAAGGTATCATAAGCATAAATTAATGGAAG